CTGGAAAATTTAAGGGGTAGTTATATAATAATTTTGGACGATCTCAGGCGGTCGGATACTTATGACCGCTACTGTATTAATGCCATATATCTGATACAATGACTTTTATACAAAGTCAGAGCCAGAGATAGATACATTATGTACTTTATTATACTTAGTGGTTACTTAACTGTGGTTCCAGAATCTTTAACTGATCATACTGTGAAAAATGTTGATCTAGTAATCTCAAATAGAGAGATAGCAAACCAATGGATTTTGTGAATTTTTGAGGTATTGGGTATAGAATATGCGAAGATAAACAAAATCTACAAATCATTATTTAAAAAAGATATTGCTATATTTTGTAACAAATTTCCACCACTTTATATGGAATTGGTATCTTGTTTTGATATTGGCAGTCTCAAAAAGGTGATTTATATGAAACCTGGTACTATATATTTGTTTTCAGATCACTTGCTATGTACCATAGTGTTGAATATTAGGTTGAATCTAATTGTGAAGCTAGGAGAGGCATCCAAATATCCAAATCATTCCAAATGTCCAAAATAAAACCCTTAATATAACATATGAATTTAAGCATACTGTAAGTGATGACTCTGATATAATAAAAGATGTCACTAAGAAAGCGCTAAAACAAATTGTTGATAATAATTACCAGATAAATCTTCTAGAATATGTTAAGGAAATAGTTGAAGTTGGTATAGCCTTCTGTGATAAAGTAGCTTTTGTCTCAGCTCGTTGCCTAAAATGTAATAAAAAAGGAATTACAACGAATGAAAATTAGGAAGTTGTTAGTGAATAGAAAACTGGAAAGGTTGGATAATGAAAAAGTAGGAACCATTATCACATTGCATTACTGCATTTGTCAAATTAGTCATTTACATACTAATTTTTATATAGTTTATTGCAAATTGCGTACTTTATTAATTAATTATAGTAAAGTTGTAAATTAGCATTTATTGAAAATTGTAACAATCAAATAAAAATTAGCAGAGATAGAAGATAAAACAATACTTCTGACTCGCTACCTTTATATTTTTGCATTCACTCAGCCATATTTACAGTGAATATCTTTGATCACAATTTCTTTTTTTAATGCACGTAAAACTGAGTATATGCAGACAATTGCTTGTTCTCTTATCTAACTACGGCACATTTATTTTTTTAATTTAAATTGATAATATTAAAATACATACGTTATCGCATTATTACATTATAAGTGCAACTGTGAAGAATCTTCACGATAAAAAATCATGTGAGTATTCAGGTCAAATTAATAAAACATTTCTTAAGCATCCACATTTTCATCTTTTTTTTACAGCAAATAAGAGCTTTAATACCAAGAAAAATTTTTTATTATTATATGCGAAAAAATAAATACAAGTTTGAGACTGCCCTGTGATACATATTATTTTTTAATAAACTTTTTGATTCTAGCCTTCTTGCTAGCCAGAGAACTATCTACACTAACTTGATCCTTCAGCAACTCAACAATAATACCAATTATCCTTTTTACATTGTTTCGTAGTAATTTAGGATTATCTTTAACCGCAGACTTTATAAGATTAATCTGATGCTTGCTACCGCTTGTAGAGAAGATGCCATCTGGAGTATATATGATAAAATGCCACTCTGTACCTGTGGTCACAATACCATAGATATAGTCAAAATAATCATTCTCAAACGCTTGATCTGTGGTTCATTTTTTCTTATTTATTTAGAACGCACTTTCAAATTGTGCTGGATTCTAAAAAATAAACTATCATTAATATCTCTAATATGTTAAAAAGTGAAAATGTGAATAGTAGGCCTATCTGCGCATATTCAATCTTAATATTTTGAAAAAATAAAATTCAATAAATGTTGTCTAACCATCTATGTGATTAGTTTTTATCAAAGAGCTCGAATACTGTTACCTGATCATAAGGCTGTCCTCTTTTTCAAAAATTGACTATTGTATAATTTTGCGCTAGGGAGGAATGGTTATCTGGCAAATGTCAAAGGCTTAACTGGCAATGGTCATAGCTTCTGATAAATTCTTCGTACTATTCGATATGACTGTAAATACTGCCTCTAATTTGCGCAAATAGCTAGGGAGAAGTGATTTACCAGTTTCAGAAAGAAATCTTTCTTTTTTCAGAAATGTATTAAACTATTTAACTCCTGACACTCCTGGATCCCTCAACTGTTTAGAAGAAATTGCATTTTAAATCTAAGTAAGAAGAAGTTTAGCCTGCTCTTCATCCCTTTCTAATGATCTAAATACCTGAGAATTATCCTGCTGATCTCAGTTTTTTATGTATCCAGTTACACCTCCATTAAATATACACAAGTCTTTAATTTCAGCAGGACGGATGCAAAGCATGATCATTACATTAGCTAAGGCTTACACAGTGAGTGTCTTAGATGCGTCATACAAATTGAGTCTTTTTTTAACTAATTCTAATGAGAAGTGATCTGAAAAATCAATCACTTTATTTTTACATTGATCTCTATGCTCCTTTTGAATCTTATTAGATGTGCAGGTTATTTCTTCATCTAATATAATAGAGATTATTTTTTCTAAGGCATTAAGTTTTTGCAACTCTCTTCAAAGCCTACTAAGACAGAATGTAGTAATGATAGGTTAAAGGACATTATAGTTAAAGCTTTGGCTATCGCTTTTACTTCTTTTTCACCAAGATTATCTCGAATAATACGCTGGGTTATACTTTCAATAGTTTCTCCATTTGAGATAATGTCAGATACTTAACATATATTAACTTCCCTTACTTCATTTCTCCTTCTTTGAGGATTACCCGACTTCTACTTCAGCAAATTCTCTGATTAGAAATTAATACAAATGCCTGCTCTCTGCTAAAATTATACCCTTTTTGGAAGCGCTGACAGCCCTTGTCTCTTTTTAGTTTATTTGTCAAAAGCTCAAGTAATTCTGGAGCATGCTAACTAAGTTCTTCATCACTCATATCTTTACTGAGTTTGTGCTCTGCAACATATTTTGTTACAATTGCGGACATGGTTGTGTAGATATAGCTTGTGAAGTAACTACTAGATTATATGCAACCCTTAGATTATTCTATATCTGAAAAAGCTCAATTCAAAAAATTTATTCCGCCATTTATCTACCCATAATCGATGGGGTAAAAATTATCAGAGGGTTAGAGAAGAAAAAAAATATATAACTCTTGCTCTGGTCAGGGGTTTTATATCAATTTGAAATTTGCAGGTTGATAGAATATGCAAAAAAATACATAATAATAATTTGAAATTTTATATCGCCTAGTTGTAAAGAACAAAAGTCCCATCTCTACTAATATTAATTAACCCACTCTTATTTATTCTTTACCAAAGCATACCATTCTTCTGGAGTATGCTTATATTTTTTTGCCATTCCTCATCATTATAAATACATTCTCGAGGTTTTCCCACATCCTCAAACTCTCAGAAATATATTTTTTCGCTTATTAATCTTTCTCTTCTAGTCATGTAAAATAAATCATTCAGGTTTATATTATTTTCTCTAACAAATTTGATGACTTCTACGTCTGCCATCATTATATTTCAATACTCCCGAAAAAAGTTAACATTTTTTTCTGTAATCGTCATAAACTTATAAGAATCTTCACCATAATCGATTGCTCATTTTTTAAGACGTTCTTCTCACTGGGTTCTTGTAGATAATATTTCATTATTACTGAATTTGGGTCCTTTCAACACATTACTGATACACTTGATAGGCTTGAGAGTTTGCCAGTTTCAGGTTTATCGATTACTAGCTTGGATAATTCAGAAGCCTTAGTAGTTTTAAATGTCTCAGATGTTGAGGTAACTAAAGCTTCAGTTTTTTCTATTTTTCAGAGAATAATTTCTGGTACATTAAATATGGGTATGTCTGTAGATTCATTAGTAGATAGATATATTTGAGGTGTATCTTCGATAGGTATATCAGAAAATTTTTCAAGATCTTCTAGGTCATGTTCACAGAGTTTGGCTACGATCTTAAAGTAGTCGAGAGTATAAATCCAATTTATCTTCCCATCAACTTGTGCCTACTTTCGATCAATCCCAATATAGGAAAATTTCCTCCAGTGACTTTATTAGTTAATGGCTTTTCTCCATTTGCCTACACCATTTAAAATATTTTTGGTATAAATTATTACATATCATTCTTTCAATACATCCCTCTGACCATGATATAATGTGATCAATAATAAATCGAATGAGGGATGAAAGTTGATCTTGCATTATATCTATTTTCATTTTTAATAGAAGAATCTTACATAGCTTCCATCCTGAAAGATTAAGATTAAGTAAATATGCCGTAAATGATCCTAATATATCAGGATGCTCAAGAATCCTTTCTAATTGATTAAAATATATAAAATTATTTTTACAGTAGGAGGAGATATCTAAATATATAATACGACTATCTCCCATTTCTATTCTAATCAGAGCATTATGATTACTTATAACCATAAATCTGGCGAAATAATTACAATCCTGAGATTCAAGTCCTTTTCACTCAATCGAAACATAATCTTCTGTTATAAGAGACTTTAGATGGTTATTTACTTTATGCTATTCCTCACTGATCATTCCCATTTTATTTATAATTATAAGCTTATGTCTTTAAATGAGACTATTGAATTTTCCAAGAATTTTTCTAAGATCAGAAGTTGAATAAACAAGCTTTGGGCTGAATAAGCTTTTTCAAATAAAATCAGTGATAATATTTTTCACAGCGTGGTAGGGAGCGTAAAACAAGAATAGTTCCAGGAATTATATTTAGATATTGAACTATAAATGCAAATCATTTCAGAACATATTCGAAAAGTTTTTTATTCCTATTACACCAGATATTTTCTATATGCCAGACAATCAGATTTATAAGATCATAATTAATTTGAAATACTAGTTTGGCCTTAAATCCTAAGAAAAGATTAAAGAATTCAGTTTTGGGTAGATTGATATTTGGAAGGTATGGAAGAAAATTAACATTGTCATAATGTATTATGCTATTAATATGAGTATGATCAATTAAAGATTTTAATTTTATCGCCTTACCCCCATGTTCTATTATATTAATTGTAAAATTTGCAAGATCTAATTTAGGTCTCATATTAAACATAAGCCTACCATTTGGATTCCTATGTTTAAGAATCCATGTTTTTGTTTTCTTTTGAATACAAGTAACTGTTGCTTAAATTGCTCTATAGATATCCATGCAGGAGAATCTTTTACCTGAAGTATATATACGCAATAAATCGCTTTATACAAAGTGGTCATTGGAATCTGATATTCTTGATAGGACTAATTTTACTAGTACTAAAAGCTTTTGTTCTTGATCTAAGGCCGTTTCGCTAATTTTAAATTTTAACGAAAACTTCATACCAACTCTCTATCTTGATTAGCACAATAGCAGAAAAGCTATAGGATTTTTATTTCGTATAATATATGCATTTTCGCTATCATGTTTTCGAATACATAATGGGTAGTGTGATAGGAAGACGTGTGATAATGGAAATTTATTAGAAAAGTTATCTGATAGATATGAGAGATTATATCCTTCAATACTAATCTTTTTGATCAATTTTTCTACTAGTTTGAATTTAGCTTCAGTGGTTTCATTATCTGTAACACTATTGTACTTTAAATATCTTTTAACTTCCAGTTTTAAAATAGCTAAGAGGGAACTGTCTTTGACTTTAGAATTATCATTTAGTGAGTGGATTATGAAGTTGAAGATAGATCCATTTTTTAGATGAACAGGTTTTTTTACACAAA